GTTTGGTTTAAAAAAACGTCGGCGCCACCTACCAACGCCACGTTAACCGAATGTTCACCGAGCAACTAGGAGATACTATGGAAGTATATATCAACGATATGCTCGTCAAATCGGCCAACGCCGACAACCATATCGACCACCTCGCACGATGTTTCAAAAGCCTCAACGAGTACGACATGAAGTGAAACCCGGCCAAGTGCACCTTCGCCATCAAATCGGGAGAATTTCTAGGCTACCTCGTCCCCAAACGGGGAATCGAGGCTAACCCCAAGAAAATCGCCGCACTCCTCGAACTCCCTTCCCTGAAGAACACGAGAGAAGTACAGCGCCTGACGGGTAGAATCGCAGCTCTTAACAGATTTATCGCCCGATCAACAGACAGGTGCCTACCTTTCTATCAACTCCTACGAGGAAACAAAAAGTTCGAATGGGATGATAAATGCGAAGCGGCTTTCCAACAACTCAAGGAATACCTATCGACTCCGCCTGTGCTGGCAAAACCCGAATTTGGCGAAACCTTACACCTCTACGTCGCAGTCTCTCATTCCGCGATCACTGGAGTCTTAGTCAAAGAAGATCGCGGCGAGCAGAAGCCGATTTTCAACGTCAGCAAGTCACTCAATGATCCTGAAACAAGGTATCCAACGCTGGAGAAGTTAGCCTTGGCAGTAGTCACCGCAGCCAGAAAGCTGCGACCGTATTTTCAATCCCACTCTATCACCTTCTTGTCGAATCACCCCTTATGAACAATTCTACACAGTCCAAGCCAATCCGGCCGAATGGCCAAATGGGCCGTCGAATTAACCGAGTACAACATCAACTACAAGAACAGAAGGTGCGCAAAATCCCAAGTTCTTGCCGACTTCTTAATCGAGCTCCCACCAGGAGCCGCCGGTGAAGACCTCCCAACCAAGGAGATATGGCCCTTGTACGTCGATGGCTCGTCATCTCGCAATGGATCAGGAGTCGGAGTCAGACTTATATCTCCAACGGGGGAAATCCTTGAGCAATCTTTCCGACTCGAGTTTGCAGCATTCAATAACGAAGCGGAATATGAAGCACTCATCGCTGGCTTGCGCCTGGCTAAAGCAATAAAGGCGAGCCAAATTCAAGCATTTTGTGACTCGCAGCTCGTAGCTAGCCAATTCAACGGAGAATACGAGGCGAAGAACGAACGCATGGACGCCTACCTCAAAGTCGTCCAAAATCTCGCTAAAGACTTTGGCGCCTTTACGCTAACCAAAATTCCGTGAAGCGATAACTCGCCGGCCGACGCTCTCGCCGCACTCGCTTCCACTTCCGATCCAGACCTGCGGCAACTCATTCCCGTCAAAAGCATACCCATACCAAGTATAGAACTGGCGAAAGGGGGCCTCGACGATGCAGACGAAAGCAGCCACGAGCCGATGGACGACCTCATCTCCGAACGAAGCATGGAACAAACCGAAGGAGAATACGCCATCACAGAACTTGAAGAAGGTATCGACGAAACCAACTGCGAGCCGATGGACAGGGCCGGAGAGCCCGTCGAGCTTGATTGGAGGGAGGAGATAATAGCATACCTGTCTGACGGAGAAGTTCCACCTGAAAAATGGGCAGCTCGGCGTCTCAAAGCACGATCAGCCCATTACACTCTTCTCGACGAAACTCTCTGCGGATGGAGTGCATCTCAAGTCCTTCAACACTGCGCCCCTACCAGCAATGGAACTTGCTCGGAACATCAGTCACAACCTTGTTTCCCAGTCTCATATTCACGGCAACCGTTTGCTGAGCCCCTTTGGTATTCCAGACCACACTCGATATCTCTTCGAAGAAACGAAGACTCATATGAACGCCACACGACTCCGCCACTATAATCGCCCCAACCATGTTCCGGATCGCACCCGGGCAGAGCTGAGTCAATGCAATCTCTCTAGCCTCGCAGTAATCCAACAAAAGCTTCGGCAGCGGAAACCATAACTGGCAATGCTCGAACCAGAACTCGTAGAGGCAGATCCAACTCGGAGGAGGGGTCCAAGGACGCTCGTTCGCACCAGGAACTCGAAACTCTAGATCAGAAACCCCACAAGCATACCGAATATCCTCCATAGACTGCGCCGACGACTTATAACGAGGAAACTCGTGGCCCGATGACAGTAAGAGAGACTCAGGCTCCGCGGACCCTACGTCAGGATGAGCCGAAACGACGAGCTCCTCGCCAGCATCGCCGACCGCTCCGACGGAAGAAGAGGCCGACCTCGTTTCGGCTAAGGAAGACGGTGATCCGGAACCACTGGCAGAAGGTGTCGAATCAATACTACCCGCAGAAGAAGCCGGTCTTGCCCCATCCGGAAGAGGTGCAACCATATCTGACCCCTCCGCAGCATGCGACTGTACGCCTCCCGGAAGATACATCCTCCCCATCTGAAAAGAGAATAAAGAAACCAAGTTAAAAAAGAAAAAGGGAGGAATGGCCTACCTAGGATTTGGCATACCTAAGAATCTTTGTCTACCTAAAAATCCTTGCCTAGCCCACAAACAAAGAATAAAAATGGCCGACCTGAGATATATGCCGAGCCATCAGGTAGGAGGGAACGCCGACCTACGAGCAAGCGAAGCCGGAACGACGACGAAATGCACCGGTCTCGAACGACAATAAAATTCACCAAGTGTGAAATAAGGGATGCCGACCTGCAAAATTTAAAAGGACGAAGCCAAAATCAACGAAAGGCAATGAGCGGAGGTTGAAAGCACATAAGCACCATGATGGCCGCATCAAACAACGTCAAAACCTGTAAAAAAAACATCACGAACTCATACCAAAATCGACAACGAGGAGATATGGCCGACTCAAACGGCGACCAAAATGCCGATCGTTTCTCCGAATATTCAGTGACAACCAGAAGCCGAAAAGAAACGCCGACCAATGTATGCAAGAAGCTCGACCTACGAGGAAGTTCTCAAAGGAGATGCCAGGAATTGATGACCAGCCCAGAGCGACGGTATCCACCCTCGCTGGAACTCTGAAATCAATAATAGTGCGAAGCCGTTGGCTCCAAGCGAATGCCGACCTTTGAAGAGTCAAACCCTCAAATCACTGGTACAAAGCATCACTCTTGCTGATAACAAAGACTCGAGATGACGACCCTGAATTCAGAAGCCGACGCCGACGCCAACGGAACCACTCGATAGACCGACCTCCCCTGCGAAAATGCCGATCTACAGGTCATGAGCTCACTTCCTAATGGCCGACCATCAAAAGAACTCTCATCGGTGAACGAAAGCCCAGAAATCCCACAACAAAACAGGTCGGCCAAAAGTCTCGGAGACCGGAGCAGGGTGAAAGACGAGCCGACCCCGACCGTGGTAAAATCGATTCCGATACGCACTGATATGACTAATTGATGAACACAGATCCCGCCGAAAGCCGAATCGATAGATGAAAAACGAACCCCTTCCCGCACATCAGAACGAGAATGACGAAGAGCAAACCACAACCCTGACCTACATCAACCCGAACCCCCTAGAAATCGCAAGCCCTAACGCCGATTTCAAAACGGCCGACCTTGGAACCGATAAGATCTCATAAACCGAGACCAAGACTCTCTAAACCGCGGAGCTCAAAAACTGGAAGATCTAGAAACAGATCGAGAGAGAAGAAAAAAAAAAGGGGAGAGAAATTTACCTTTTATCAGATGAACAGTGTCGAAGTGAAGAGAAGCATATGGGAAAAGAGGAGATCTAATTATAACAAAAATAAGAGAACACCAATTTGACCTAAAGCAAACGCCGGGACCCATATCCGTACAAACAGAGCCGTACGTGGACCCACTCCGAGCCAGTCCAGATTCGAGCCGAGTTAACAAAATTCGAAGAATCCGTTGACTCAAGATCGAGACTTTTCGTTAAACGGACTTGGGGGGGGGACTTACTGTTGGTACGAATCAATTAATTACTTCGGCCCAAATCAAGCTCCAGGCCCAAGAGAGAGGAAGGAAGTTTTGGCCCAGATCCGAGAATAAAGCTCAGGAGTATCAGCTCGGCCCAGATTCAAGAATGAGGCCCAACAGCACCAGCTCAGCCCAAATTCGAAGAAGAGCCCCAATAAAGTCAATTTTGCCAGAAAGCCCGCGAAGCCCAGCAAAATCACCGCCCTAATTTCCTATAACTAGGACCGTACCTAGTACGAAAAATACACACTTTACTCCGGATTTTATGGAATTAAGCTTTAATTGTGCTTTGTAATAGCTACTCCTTTTTTGGAGGTCGGCTTTCGTATTAGAGTTTTTCGTTTGGAATCCCAGTTTTTGGGAACCCTCTTTTCAGTACTTTAGTCGGTCTTGTTATGTATTCTGTCGATTCTCGTTATCAATAAATACGAATTACCCAAGGTTGAATCTAAGGTTTACCACCGTCTTACAAATGGATGGCATCTCCGATTATTGCCCTTTTGAAGCAGTTTAACAAATGGCGGTTAGAAGTTGAAGTTAGACCTACATATAGAGGTGCCTTTCTCATAGCTGAAAGTGTGGTTAGATGTGAATTCTTACAATCTTACATTACAGCAGGTCCTCCTCTGTGGCTATCAAACCTTCTTCAGAGTGAGAAAGTATGTCCTCTCTTAGGTTAGTGTCTTAGAGTAGACTGAATAGTTTTTGGCTAAATTAACGTTTATCTCGGGCTGTGGTATTTTTTTGGGTTCCAGCACGTTATCATTCAGTTACTCTGTTCTGTATATAATTCCAGGGTTATCCCAACTCGTTTCTAATGTTATTCAGTTGGAAAAAAAAAGAATTCGATTAAAAATACAAAATGCCCAAATTTAATAACGACCCTATTATAACTACAGGCCCATATTCTGTTCGGCCCAACAGACATAAAAAGCTCACAGATTTCTCTACTTCTTAGCTCAGCAATCTTCTTCCCACGGACCTTTCTTCTCCCCTTCCAGGAATTTCGATTTTCCTGAAATTTAGGTTCTGCGATACGAATAGAGATTTCAAGAAATGGTGAAGGTGCGAATGAACACGGCCGACGTGGCGGCAGAAGTCAAGTGCTTGAAGCGGTTAATCGGCATGAGATGCTCGAACGTCTATGATATATCTCCCAAGGTATAAATGTCTACAATACGCACTCGTAGGAATCAATTCGTTTAGATTTGATTTGATTTTCATTAGGGTTTATTCACTTTGTTTGATTTTTTTTTCCAATTATATTGCAGACGTATATGTTCAAGCTCTTGAATAGTAATGGCATCACAGAATCTGGAGAGAGTGAGAAGGTTTTGCTATTGATGGAAAGTGGTGTTCGTTTGCATACTACAGCTTATGTCCGGTAAAAAGAAGACTCATCTATTCAATCTATATTTTTAGTTTTTGAGGGAAATGTCAATTATTGGTTTTCTGGGTTTTTGTTCATAGGGATAAGAGCAATACTCCATCTGGGTTTACTTTGAAGTTAAGAAAGCATATTCGTACAAGGAGGCTTGAGGATGTACATCAGCTTGGTTACGATAGGGTAATGGAAGTTGAAAATTTCTTGTATTTGTTGTGTTGTTTCCATTGTGTTTTCCTTAAAGTTGTTATTTCTTTTTCTATTGGCACCAGATCATTGTCTTCCAGTTCGGGCTAGGTGTTAATGCACACTATGTTATATTGGAGCTATACGCTCAAGGAAACATAATTCTTACGGATTCCGAGTATATGATCATGACTCTTCTCCGGTCGCATAGGTTAGTTTCCCTATTTACTTTCGTCAGAACGTTGTCTTTGCTAGTGGAAAATCAAACTTTTCAAGGTGACTGTGATCACCTTCTGCTTCAAGTGTGGCCTTTTGTAGTGATTAGTTTATTTCAATTCTTGCAGAGACGACAATAAGGGTTTTGCAATCATGTCTCGCCACCGTTACCCGATAGAGATATGTAGAGTCTTCGAGAGAACCACAGTTTCGAAGCTACAGGAAGCTCTGACTGCTTTCTCGCTTAAGGATCTTGAAGCAAAAGATGATGAACCAAAGGAGCAGAATGGTGGCAAGAAAGGTGGGAAGTCGAATGATTATACGGGTGCCAAACAATTTACCTTGAAGAATATTCTTGGGGACGCTTTGGGGTATGGGCCACAGCTCTCAGAGCATATAATTCTGGATGCTGGTCTAGTTCCAAGTACCAAAGTTTCACAAGACAAGAAGTTAGATGACAATGAGATCCAGTTGTTAGTTCAAGCGGTCATCGTATTTGAAAATTGGCTTGAAGATATTATATATGGTCAAAAAGTCCTTGAGGGTTATATTCCAACATTCTGTTCAGATGAGACGCTAGCCCTTCTCCTACTCAACGCATCTGCCACCAAGTTGGCTTTTCCTGGATGGTATGCTATCTCCAAGTTATAGTCCGCTACCAACTCCATCCATCTACGCTGTCTCAAGTTCAAATCCGGTTGAGTAAAGATGTATTTTAAACTCTTATGGTCCGTGTATATCTGCACCTTCGCGCCATACAAGTAAGATCTCCATATCTTAAGTGCAAATACCACAGCCGCCATCTCTAAATCATGCGTAGGGTAGTTCCCTTCATGCTTCCGTAGCTGCCGCGAAGCATAAGCTATCACCTTACCATTTTGCATCAGAACACAACCTAGTCCTTTCCTGGATGCATTCGTGTATACCACGTATGGCTCACCCGGTTCTGGTAACGCCAATACTGGTGCACTAGTGAGTAACTCCTTTAACTTTGAGAAGCACTCTTCACACTCATCCGTCCAGACATACTCCACGTCTTTACCAGTCAGCTTTGTCATTGGCTGAGCCATGCTTGCAAAACCTTTGACAAACCGCCTGTAGTAACCAGCTAGTCCGAAAATACTCCTTATCTCTGTAGCATTCTCTGGTCTGGGTCAATCCGCAATAGCCTGAATCTTTTCTGGGTCCACGGATACTCCCTTATCCGAAACAATGTGACCCAAAAACCCTATATGCCGTTGCCAAAAGCTACACTTACTGAGCTTGGCATATAACTTCTGTTCTCTCAACTTCTCCAGAACAGTCCGCAAATGACTCCTATGATTTTTCTCATCCTTTGAGTATACTAGAATATCATCTATGAAAATGATCACAAACTCATCTAGGTACTCTCTGAATACGCCATTCATCAACTTCATGAATGCAGCTGGCGCATTCATCAAACCAAATGGCATGACCACAAACTCGTAATGACCATACCTTGTCCTAAAGGCAGTCTTACGCACGTCTGTCTCCTCTATGGGTATTTGATGATACCCTGATGCCAAATCGATCTTAGAGAACCAAGTAGTACCCCTGAGTTGGTCCAACAACTCGTCTATCCTGGGAAGTGGATACTTGTTCTTCACGGTCACACGGTTCAATCCACGGTAATCAATGCAAAGCCTGAAGCTCCCATCCTTCTTCTTCACGAACAACACTGGTGCTCTCCATGGTGAACTACTAGGTCTAATGAAGCCTTTGTCCAACAACTCTGTTAGCTGCTTCTTCAGTTCAGCCATCTCCGCTGGCGCCATCCGGTATGGTGCTTTGGACAATGGAGCTGTCCCCGGCTCAAGTTCAATCGTGAATGGATCTGAACGAGCTGGTGGCAGTCCTGCCAACGCCTGAAAAACATCCTCAAATTCTTGCACCACCGGTATACTGCCTAAGTCTACATCCGGTCCTCCTTCTGTAGTAGTGATCGTTGCTAGATACGCCTCACAACCTTTCTCTATCAGCCGTTCTGCTTGAATAGCTAAAACCACCAAACTTCCTGAGGTTGGCCTAACTCCCTGATAAACCAAGACCTCTCCTTCTCTCTCAAACCGCACCCTTCCACGGTGACAATCCAAGTGAGCTCTGTGCTTGCCTAACCAGTCTATTCCCAAAATGACATCGTAGGACTTAACCCTACAGATCACTAGATCCGCTGGCATGTTCACTTCGCCAAACATCACTGGAACATTCTTGACTGTTCCTAGTGAAAACATCACTTGGCCTCCAGCCGCCTGAACTAACCCAAAGTCCTCTCCGGGTTCCTTCTGGAATTGACCCTTTCCGATCATGTCCGGATTAACAAAACAATTACTCGCTCCCGAGTCAAACAGAACATGGGTTTCAACCTCACCCATTAGCAAGGTCCCTACACATTCATTCCCTAGAATGTTAAGACTCTATACTAACACACAACACGCAAAAGCAAGTTTAGAAAATACTAAGTACCACACGTACCAGTAATCGGATAAGAAATGCTCGGTTCCTCGGCTGCTGCTGCACTCGTCGTGTACACCCTCGGCATAATGGCCTGTCTCTTGGCCGGTGATGCAAGCGCCTCCCCTGCTCTCTTCTCTTGAGCCACGACCTGCTCCACCACTCCTGCCTTAGGACACTCATGCTTGAAATGCCCTGGTTCTCCACAATCGTAGCAAACCCGAACCGCACCATCACTGCCGGACACACGGACCACTCGCTGATCCTCCTCCGGACAGTCTCGTACCCGATGCTCTAAACTCCCGCACCTGTGGCATCCACTACCACCGCGCCTACACTCGCCAACGTGAGCCTTGCCACACTTGCTGCACACGCTGCGTCCCCCAGATCCTTTGTTCGGTACTCCCTTCCCAAACTTCCGGTTCTGTCCACTAGACTGACCCGCCTTGGTCACGGCTGTTGATAGGGTCAGGTTTTACCCAAATAAAACTACTGCAAGTGCACAGCAAAAGCAGTTGTAGTACAAGGGGTTATCGAATCACAAGGGAGTATGTAAACCACACTAGCGATTATAGATTCAGATTAAGCTAAGCGATAAATAATGAATGTAATGCAAAACAGTAAAATAAATGCAAGAGGGCGTTTTTATGCTTGTTCTTAAAGTTCAGAAGGCTAAAGGCGCTAAGTCAGGACAGTTCGCAGGTTGAATCTGAGAGTGTAGAATGCATGCAATCAGGAATGAATTAAAACCGTCTTGAACATGAATCGCAAAGATATAACTAATCAATTCTCATTGCAGAAGTTATCTATGTCTAAATCACAGAGTTTCAAATCTCTTTGCAAACCCTAACAACCTAAACATGCAGTAATGATCAGGTTCAATTGTTCACAAAACTCCTAAGCCAAATCTCTTTGTACTAGGGCGTTTTGCTCATCTAATACTAGTTCAGGTGATTAATAATGCTCTCACATCTATCAAAAACCTAGGGTTTCGAAATCCAGATGATGTGTCTAAGAAATCGATATGAATGCAAGCACAGATGAAGAACCAATGAATTTTCTATAAGTTTTTAGCAATTCTACAAACTCTTCTTCAACCTTTGAAAAGCCCTAACTTAACTAACAAACTACTCAGACATGGTGATTTGAGAAAACATCATGAAAAGAATAGATTGCATAATAGAAATAAGAAGTAGAAATAAAGGAGTTCAAAATCTGCTCTGAAGGAGTCTGATTTGTCTCTCCAAAAGCTCTTCTACAAATCTCTCTCTAAAACTCTCTAAAATAATAAGGTACAAGATATCTGCCAAAAGAATGGCTGAAAAACCTAATATACAAGCTAAAACACGATTTGGGGTCTTTTTACAAATACTAGAACTTTTGGGCCAAAACTGCAATTTCTTCCCAATCTTTTAAAAACAGGCCACGACCCCTTCCTTTCTGGGTGACGAGCGTCACTGGTAACGAGCGTCACCATATGGCATACTTTCTTCTTCGAGCTAGGTACTTCGTGGCTTCAACTCAGAATGCTCCAAAAGGTTCCAAAATCTCCAATTATGCTCCAGACATGCTTTAACCTGCAAAGACTCTTCTAGGACTCTAAAAAAACCAAAAAGACTCAATAAAAAGAACTTATATCATGGTTAAAAACCATAAAAACCATGATATATCAACTCCCCCAGACTTAGCTTTTGTTTGCCCTCAAGCAAACATCAGACAAAGAATAAGGTCGAGGTTTGAAAACAAGAAACAGTCAGTCAGTCATCAGGAACACCACACTAGTTAAAGCTTTCGAATCCACATACCACAGAGTCAACACAAGATCAAATTTCAGCCTAATCATCACAAGCTTAGCAAATCTCTCAAGTCCAGTCTAAATCTCATCAAAGCTCTATCATCTTAATCACTTTAAAGATTCTTTTCCCTTCCTAACAACTGAACAAATCAATCTCAACACAGCACTCCTATTTTCTCTTCCCTTAATCTTTTTCCTTATGATATTTTCGATTTTTCACTTCTTTTTCTCAACTTTTTCAGTCTAAGAAATGGTGCTACTCAATACTTGTGTTCCTTGTGAGGAGACAGGGTCATGAATGCACCATTCTTTGAACTTAATCTTTTAAAAACTACATCAGGGAAGATCAAAGAGAGACTGTATTTTAACCTTATTTTCAGTGTTGAAAGAGAGAATCAAGATCAATAAGAATCAATCACCAAGACAAGAAGTTTAAAGTTCATTAAGGTGGAGCTAACAGTAAATTTTCCAGATTCTCTAAGAACCTAAACCTTCATTGCTAGACTGATCTACCTATGACTTTCAACTTAGTGAGACTTGTAATCAACTACTGTGGCAATGGTTCTTATCAGCAAAAACGTCCTATGACTAGTTCCAAGAAAAACTAACAGTTTCAAAAATTTTGACTCTAGAAAAACAGGTTTTTGACTCAACTTTAAGACTCTATAAACATGACACAAAGCACACAACGTCAGTAACCACCTCCCCCAGACTTAAACAACAATGTCCCCAGTGTTATTAAGCCAAGAGTTGGTCAAAAAGAAGCATGAAAAGTTGTAGAACCGAGTTGGAAAAGTGGTACCTCGCGAAGGAGCTAGTGACGAGCGTCACTCACTCTGATACTCCAGAAATCGACATGTTGGATGTTTAAATGCTATGCCATCATGTGTACTCTGAAGTCAAACTGTAAGAACACTAAAAACACACATCAAAACATCCAAACAAAGCATAATCCATGATCCAACAAGTTCACAAGATATCATCCAAGCAAACTGAACAAAGTGACTCTTCTATTTTTTTTTTTGATTTTTCTCATGTTTTTGGGTTTTTTTAGCTATGTAATAGAAAACTAAACTAATATATGAAAAAAAAACTTACTAGTGGGTTGCCTCCCACTAAGCGCTTGTTAAAGTCATTAGCTCGATTTTGAATGCTGCTCAGACAGCTGGTGGAACAGAAGGTGGCAGTGAATGCCTTGGAGAAGAATGTCTCCTCATCCATGGTGGTTTGTAAGCAGTAGATGTATGAACACTTCCAAGGAAGTGAAGAACATCA